TTTGTTATAGAAGCTTCAAAAAGTTGTTTGTTTGCGCTTATGTGCCTGGCAGTAGATTACATCCAAAACGAGACGAGCTGGTACAAGCTCCTCTACTGACATAAATGACAATAAGGTTCAAATATGGATGATTGGTCATCTTTGCCATTAAGCACATACGCAATTATTGGTATTATTATTATTTAATATCAATCAGTATTAAATAATGAAAAATGTCAAAATATAGAGAGGATAGGATCAGATTGAAAATTAATCTTGTATTGAAATTTAAATATTGAATTTAAATTTTCAAGTCACTACACTGAGTCACTACAAACTGGGGTCCATATTTGAAGAGAAGGGCAACGCATGGAAATCAGATAATTTCAGTTTGGCTTTCCGTCTATTACTGTTCACTGCTCATAGGTTATCAAAGGAATTGGCTTGTTGACTCTTGTGTTGGTCACCAGAACCATTGTAGAATAGACCAATATGTATCATAAATTCACTTTTAGAGGCAACTTGCTTAATAACGTCATCACTTAGTAAAACTGCAAGTTGCTTCTTGATCACTGTTGAAACAGTAAAATAAAAGGTAAAGAAGAAATAATAGGCCAGTATGAAAACCATGTGAAAGAGTATGGCAAATGTTCCTTGATAATAATCCAATATAGCTCCATAAGGCATACTTGTAATAATGCTGCTCTCTCTCAATCCAATCACAAAGAGTAAGTAACATGGGCAAAAGATTCCCACCAAGAAAATATGCCAAAACTTTAAGTAAAAATCCGAATTCAAGTTTTCAATCATGGAGGCAACCCAACAGAACAAGTGGGTTGTTAAATTCACAAGAGTTACTAGTCTTGCAGCACTTGGTTTGCTTGTTGGTACGAGAATGGCCCAATATCCGAGAGAAACAACTGTCTCTGTTACCAAATTCAATTCAGCTAATATCCACAATGCATTACCATATAAAGAAATTGCCTGAATGAGCCATTGTGGCATTACGCTAAGATAGGGAAATAATGAATCTTCACCAGCTTTGCAGGCAAGAATGGAAGTCATTACTAAGAAGGCAATGTGTGAAATTGTTACAAAAAACGAATAGACCACAAATACATTGAATGAATTATTGGTGAGATATTGTGTATAGGTCAACCAATTTGATCCTCTTGCTGTTTCACTATCTCCCACATAGTAAGCCACAACTATAGCCAGAGCCAACAAGCAAAATCTCAACAAGAGAATCCAAAAAGTAGAAATCCAACAC